TACCAAATAAGCCTCACAGGTGAACATAAATTTTTTTTTTTTTTTTTAAAGCAGGACCTTTCACCTAGGGACTAGCCCGCACTGCTTGTGGATGAAAGAAATCAACATTATTTATTTCTGGCTTGCTTGATCTAATATTGCAAAATGTAATATGGCTGGACAAAATGGGTATTTAGAAGCCAGTATTGCATTTAACTGACACTTTTAGGTGTGTACGTTAAGTTGTAGTTCTAGAACTTCTGCTATGGTTCCAATACCTGTGTCTGAAAGGTAACATCAGTATTATTACGGAAGCAGTTGCTTTGTTACAAATTCCATATAACATGCTCAAATTCTAGGTCTTTTTTCTTTAGCACTATTTAAAGTTTCTTGTAGTTTGGTCAGCATACACACATCTCATGTCATCTGATTACATAAGCCAAGGTGGAAATTAAAAGACACAATTGCCAACTACTTCAGACAGCTATATCAAGTCCAGGATTATGACAAAGTCTGACCCAGAATTTTAATTTGTAATTTTAGGATGTATCTCATGCAGTTTGGGGAGCATCAAACTAAGTCTACAGTCGCCAGAAGCCTTGTTACAGTCAAATGTACATTAACTAGAATGTGTACATTTTTAGTGTTCATGATAAATGCAGTTATGACCTTATTACACTTTTGGCATTCTTTAAGAAAGCACATTAAGCTTTAATATAGAAATATTTAGGTTACACTTGTGCTCAAGTTATAATAAAACAGTTATTCTTTTTTTGATCTCATACATTCTCTCCTCAGGTATGGCCCATCTCCTGTACGCTTGGAGCGACCTTTGGCTACGTGGCTGGCCTTGTGATTTCACCACTCTGGATATACTGGAATAGAAAGCAACTTACATATAAGAACAATTAGTTGGAGCAAAGGGAGAAGATATTTCTTTGTGCAGATTCCATAAAGACTGTGCAGAAATGTTTATGGTCTAAGCCAGGCAGTTCCATTTACAGCACTGTTTTTTTATGTAGTTACAACATGGTGTGATTGTAGCTTTTTAAACTATGAAACCCCTGAGAGATTGTACCTTCTAGTTGAAATAAAGTATTTATAATAGATTGTGGCTTCAGATGCTGTTTGCTGCTTCTTGGACCTTTAAGAAACATTCTTAAGGTTTTTTTTTTTTTTCTTTCAAGTTTTAAACTGCTTCATTATTTATAAGAGGTCTGGGTATAGTTGTAGCATTTCATATGCTTTCTAAGAGAAATGGACAGTTTCCTTGGCCACTGAAGATGTTTCTCACGTAATCAAACAACAGTTTATACATCTTGATCCTATTCTTTTTTTTACTGTGTGTTTCTTTGGAGTTAAAATGGCTATGATAGCCTCATCAAAAACAGTCTTCAATCCCTTCTGGGTTAAAGCCGAACATTCCACATAGCAGCATGCTCCTATCTGGGAGAAAAAGAAATCACAAACATATAAAATCATTTTTACACAGTTGGTATGACACAACACACCATTATAAGGAAAATGAGAAAATAACAGCTATGCAGAAGGAATGAAATCGTCATCCATATTCATAAAAACCCAGAGACAGCCAACTAAAAGGTAAGTGTATATTCTTCCACACTTACTCTATGAAAATTGATGTCATTCATCACATATTTACTAGTTACCTACCATATGCCAAGCACTGTTTTAGGTGCTGGAGATAATGTCAGAGAACTGAACAAAAGACCAAAATGCTTGCTGTGTGATGGTTACACATGCTTAAATTCTCCTGGGGGAGGGGCCCACCAAGGGAACCGAGGGCAGATGGTATGGTGTACTTCAGAGCACCGGCACGGGGGAGATGGGGCGTGCACAGGACACAGGTGGGAAGCTTCCCAACAAAGTGGTGTGAGCAGTGAGGGCCACATCCAGGCGGACGGAGCCACCACTGGGAAGACGGTGATGTGGGAGCATGAATGGAGCGTTCAGAGGATGCTAAGGAAGCCAGAAGGGCAGGAGAGAGGGAGCAGCAGAGATTGGTAAGCGGTGAGGCCGGCCGATGAGGCAGCCCTGAGGCCAGAATAAGGACTTTGGCTTCTCCTCTAGGAGAAGCTCCATTTGTTCACTGGAAATTCACTGCACATTCTTATTTGCCAAATGAAAGCATACAGCAAGGAACAAAATAAGTCTCCCAGACTCACGACGCTTACATTTTAGAGGGAGAAGGATCACCACGAGCTACTAGAGTTTGAATGTCAGAAGGGAATATGTGGTCTGAGGACAACTGGGGAAGGAAGGTGGATAGGGAGTGGGGACAAGATCAGGCAAGGCCTCACTGAGAAGGTGACACCTGAGCAGAGACCTGGAAGGAGTGAGAAAATAGTGTTCCATAGGGAAGAACACTCCAGGCAGAGGGAGGGGCAAAAGTACAAAGACCCCAGGTCCGAGATCTGGGGATGCAGCAAGAAGGCCATGTGCCTAGACTACAGTCAGTGAGGGTGGACGCAGCTGGGGTCTGTAGGCCTCTGTGACTAGCTGGGGAGCCACTGCAAGATTGTGAGCAGAGCAGTGACCTGATCGAGCTTGTATTTTTGACTCAGGCTGCTGTGTTGAGAACAGGTGGACACGGGGTCGCAAACGGAAGCAGAAAGGTGAGTCAGAGCTGTTCCGGTAATCCGGGCTGGAGACGAAGGGGCCTGACCAGACTGTTCGAGGAGCGGATGGTGAGGGGCCTGTGGACACTGGATGGATTCCGAAGGTAGGACAAGAGCTTTGGCTGCCTGGTTGCCCACACAGGAGGAGAGTGAGAGCTAAGTCGAGTGTGACCTCAAGGTTTTTTGAGCTGAGTAACTGGGAGGACGGGCACAGAGGATAAAATTAGGAATTCTGTTTTGGACATGTTAATTTTTAGATGCTTAGCCACCCAGATGGATTTGTTGGGTGAACAGCTGGATAACCAAGTCTGGAGTTCAGGGAAACGGTCAGGCTGGAGATGGGAACTTGGGAATCTTCGAGGGCAGACTTTTCAAACCACAAGACTGACAGCAGCTCACCTGGGCCTAGGGAGGGTGGGTGCAGAAGAAGAGATGTTCCAGAAGCCGTGTGCTGATCCCTGGGCATCCAGCGTGCAGAGACAGGGACTTGAGACATGGAGGAAAGGCCACTGCCGGGGGCAAACCCCAGGAGAGGGCAAGCAAGGGAGCCAGGTAAAAGTATTTGAAGAAGAAGCGCACTGCCCCAGTGCTGCCAACGGGCCTTCAGGGGGGATCCTAGTGTTTTGCAACCATTTTTTCCCTCTTAAACTACATAATATAAACATCACAATAGCTATTAGTATAAATTTTTAATAGATGCATGGGCTTTTTTTTTTTTCCATTATAAACAATGCAGCAACTTCATAACCATCTCTTTAAGCACATCTGTAATAGTTGTTTTTTTTTTTTTTAAGATAAATTCCTACATATGGAATTGCCTGATCAAAAGTGTGCATGATTTTAGGCTTCTGCATATTGGCTATCAATGACCAATGATACAAGAGAGTGTCCTGCACCCTGGAACAGTTGCTATTATAATTAACTTCTCTCTCTTTTTTTTTTTTGCCAATATTATAGGCAGAAATTGAACTTACATTTGACTACTAAGGACTATGAACAGATTTCCTATATTCAACGGCAATCTTTTTGACAAATTTTCCACTGATGGTATAGCCCATTTTTCTACTGGAGCATAGATGTCTTTTTCTGATTAATTTATATGTAAGGAACTCCTGTATACTAAGTATATTAACCCATTTTTCAGCCATATGTGTCACACTTGTTTTATGACTTTAAATTTTATCTGGCATTTGATGTATCAAATTTTTAAGTAGTTAAGTCACCAATATTTTCATTTACCAGTTTTACTCTATGACATTTTAGAAATTCCTTCTCTCCCAGGGATTATGAAATTAAATACACGGAATTTCTAAAGCAATGTGTCAGCGAAGCTATTTGTCTTTTGTTTTAGGAAAAACTGTCTTCCAAAAAGTTTTCTCGCTTTCTTCTGCCTCCTGATAGTACATTTTAAAAGACCTTATTAAATTCTGTTTCCACAAAAGTCCTATTAAAGTCATATCGAAAAACATTGAATCCAATAATGTTAGGGCCACAGAGAAAAGTAAGCCTAGCTTCAGGGTGAAGGAAAACAGAAGTTACAAGTTTTAGGCACATCACAGTGGTATATTTTCCAGAATGCTAATATTTTCTATCTTTCATAAAAGGACTGGAAGAAAATTCAACACATTTCCTTTCAAGCCTAGCCATCATTTTTTGTTTTTAACTACAGATTTAAACTCATCCTATATGCCATTCCACCACCTTCTCCGTGGGTCTTCACCGAAGACAGAGTCTGCTCTGGCACAGTATAAACGTTTAAAAGATTTAAATGGCCTTTCTTTGATGCCTCTTTCTACAGGTAACTTACGAGGAAAATATTGTTGGCAGTGTCGTGCAGGTGTGAGCGCCTGGACTCTGTGGTCAGGCCTTCCCTGCAACCCAGCTCTACCATTTATTACGTATGGGACCTGACAAATTATCTGACGTCGCCAACCCCCCCATTTGTCACAGACCCACCCGAGCAGGTGCAAGGATTAAATGACATAATGCATGTAACAGCACTTAGCACAGTGCCCGGTATACAGTAAATGCACAATAAATGTTAGTGTCAATTATCACCCAAGCTGCTTTTACACTTATTTTTACATTCTGTAAAGGTTCTGTTACCTCTTTTGCTAGTTTCTGTCCTTGTTCCACACAAATGGGTTTTTCTTTCATGTCATTCAGTCTTGCTAAAGTTTTGGGGTCATCTCGGAGATCAATCTAATCAAGAAAGGTCAATAATGTCCCATAATGTTACAAGTCTTTAAAGATCAATCAAAGCGTGTAGTCCCATTTAATCCCACATACCCAAAAAAGATCAAACAGATGAACTTCACTTTGAAAGCCAACTAGTATGATTGCTTTCCTCGGGCACTGCTTTTCCAAATTCTTATTTTTCTATAATAAGTAGAATTTATTATAACTTGCAACCGAGATTAAACATGCACATCGTTTGCTAAACCTTAGGACTGTTTGTCTCAAAGCGACACCACAAGAGAGGCCAAAGAGACTATTCTTAAATGGGTAAAATCAAAGCAGACATACCTGAGTTCCTATTAATAAGAAGGGTACATTTGGTGCATACTCCTTAAGTTCCGGTACCCACTCCTCTTTCACATTTTGAAATGAGGCTGGATTTACCACAGAGAAGCATATAAGGAAGACATCAGTCATTGGGTAAGATAAAGGCCTCAGACGATCATAGTCTTCCTAAAGAAGAGAGAAAAACCTCATTATTCCCATCTCTTTAGTTGACTAATAGGTATGTAAGGTTACATGGTTGGAGAAGCAAAGTCAGGAGAATTCCTCAAACAGAATGTGTGGCACTCTACACGAAACAAGGTAATTCCATTTGTGTTTGTTACTCTTCCTTTTGAGGTTACCAGTGGGATATGAATATGACAACACCGTTAGCAACCACAGGGGAACTTGGAGAAAATACACCGTGATTACTAAGGCCATTGCTGAAAACATTTTATACTGAGATGTTTGCACCAAGAATTGATTAAAGCTGGAAGTTGTCTGACTCTTCTAATTTATAATGACTAACAGATGCTGAATGTTTACTGTGTGTCGGGTCGTGATCCAGAACGCTCTCCCCTGCATTCCTTAGTTCATCCTCCTGATAGCTACATGACGTAAGTACTGTTATTCCTGTTTTCCGCGGCAGGAAAAGGAGACATAGAAGTTAAATAACCTGTGTAAGAGTGTACAGCCAGTGGAGAGCAGACGGGATTCAAACCCTGACAGTCTTAATCCCGAACTACACCTTAACCACTACACACTTCCCAGAGACCTCAAATTGCTGTCTTCCCTGTTGATATGGTTTTCTTAATTACACATGCGTGCAAGTTTAAAGATAGAAACATAAAAAGTAAATGCACAAAAATCCCCCTTTCCTCTTCAACTTCCATTCTCTTCCCCAAATGTAGATCTTTCCAGGCATACCTTTCCAGTTCTTTTTCTATGCATGTGTAAACCTCCGACTGTGCATATTCAGACATCTGTACATAGAAGAGATCAAGTGATCTGTGCTGTTCTGCACCCCTCAGTACTTTCCAAAGCTCCCCTCAGAGCTTTCCAAACAAGAATACGTTAGACTAATTTTCTATTTTTAAAAAGATTTATTTAGTCATTTTAGGGGGGGAGGGGCAAGGGGAGAGGGTGAGAGAGAAGCAGACTCTCCCCTGAGTGCAGAGCCCGACTGGGGGCTCGATCTCACGACCCTGAGATGATGACCTCAGCCGAAACCAAAAGTCGGACGCTTCACCGACTGAGCCACCCGGGTGCCCCTGCACTGCTACATAATTTTAAACTGCTGCTTTGAATTCCAGTCCTATCAATGGCTGTTTCAGGATCTCACCCTCACAAAAGACAGAAGATTCTCTTTTGCTTAGACTAACACTTTTTGTGACCCCAAATATTCCGGTTATTTCCATTCTGGCAAGTGAATAGTCAGGATTGCATTTTTGTCGTGGTTAGAGTCTCCTCTGGTTTCCCGGAAGCTTTATTCTTCGCCCTGGCCTCCATGCCTTCACGGCTAAAATGGCAAGAACGCGGAGCTGAAGGAGTATTCAAAACACCTTCCGCGGGGCGCCTGGGTGGCTCAGTGGGTTAAAGCCTCTGCCTTCGGCTCAGGTCATGATCCCAGGGTCCTGGGATCGAGCCCCGCATTGGGCTTTCTGCTCAGCGGGGAGCCTGCTTCCTCCCTTCTCTCTCTGCCTGCCTCTCTGCCTACTTGTGATCTCTGTCTGTCAAATAAATAAATAAAATCTTAAAAAAAAAAAAAAAAACCACCTTCTGCTCTTATTTCCCTCACGGGACAACTTTCCTTTCATGTCATCTTCCGATATTTTTCTTTTCTTTTTTAAAGACTTTATTTATTTAAGAGAGCGAGAGCATGAGTAGGCTGAGAAGCAGAGGGAGAGGGAGAAGCAGACTCCCCGAAGAACAGGAAGCCTAATGTGGGGCTTGATCCAGAGACCCTGAGATCATGACCTGAGCCAAAGGCAGAGGCTTACCCAAGCCATCCAGGTACCAACGCCCCTCCCCACCCCGGCATTTTTTTTAATAGAATGTTCAACATGAGTGTAGTCAAGTCTCAAACTTGACTTGGGAAATAACCCTTCTGTTTTCCTGTGATGCTTTCAAAAAGCATACTGCCAGTCTAGAGCCGGGTACAGTGGAAGGTTTCTCAGGTGCTGGCTAATACAGAACAAGAGGGGAAATGCCATCCGCAAACTTCTTTACCCTTTATTTTTAAAACAAAGGCCCTCTAACTGGGAAGAAAGCAGTGCTCTGGCATTAAGAATGGCGTTAATTGAAGAAATCAGGTAGCGTGGGGGTAGAACAATTTGTACCCCAGCCAGTTACTTTAAGATACTCTGAAAAAACTGAACGTGTTTTTACAATTTAGTGTGTTACCTGGTAGGATGGGTCCACGGACTAAACAGTGGCCATGAGGGGAAGCAGGGACAGCACTGATCTTAGCATTCCTCCTGGCAGCTCCTGAGCAAACGTGTGCTCAGCATGGTCAGGCAGTGGACGGGTGGATGCTGTTGTTAAAAATTTCTCTGCATCCGTACGGACTTAAAGAGCTGATTTTCACAGAATGAGAAATGAGGATACTATCTCATAGGATTCTGAGGGATAAAAATCATGCAACAAAAGCATTCGGCCTCTGCCAGGCACATGTGGGGACTCTGTCAGTGCTTTAACATAAATCGTTCATCCCACGGGAAACCGATTCTCCTTTTCCTCTGCTACTCCATGCAGGGTCCCCTCCGTCTCACATCGGGGCTGGCTTCAGAGCACTCTCCCACCACAGAGAAGAAACACTTGTGAGAAATAACATTTTCTCCACTGGCATCAAAATACACCAATCAAACTGAGGTCTCTAGAGAACAGTATAATTCTCAGATCAATGAAAGAGAATGCTATATTATCATTGTACTAATTAGTCATTTTAGAACTCAAGAGCCTGAGGACTATTTAAAATGTAAGAAAAGAAAAGAGAAAAAAGGAAAGAAAGAAACGGAGGGAGAGGAAGGAGGGAAGGAAACCAGATTTTTTAATGAAAATTTTACTTTTCAAGCAAATTTACCTCATCAGGGAAACAGAATTTGTACCCGTTTTCTAGAAGGGGATTAGGAGAAATAAAGAATAAGTGAGGGGCGCCTGGGTGGCTCAGTGGGTTGAGGCCTCTGCCTTCAGCTCAGGTCATGATCTCAGGGTCTTGGGATCGAGCCCCGCGTCGGGCTCTCTGCTCAGCAGGGAGCCTGCTTCCCCCTGCCTCTGCCTGCCTCTCTGCTTACTTGTGATCTCTGTCAAATAAATAAAATATTTAAAAAAAAAGAATAAGTGAATGCAAAGTCCTCTAGAAATGCTTAGTAACATTAACACAAATATTCCATAGAACATAGGTCTGTTGTATGGGTCCCTTTCATAACCATAATATAGACTCTCCTCAGTGAGAGACATGCAGGCACATAGGAAGGAAATCAGACTAATCATTTCCACATACTTGTTAAATTGCAAATTTTGTTGGAATAATTAAACTGTGATGGACTGAGTTTGTAAAAACAAAACAAAACAACAAAGACAAGTATGTTTAGAACTACTTGGAAGGCAGGGTTACTTCTTATGTCTGAACTATCGACAGTGAACTTCTGCCTCTAATCTGCGGCAAAGCCAGTTGAATGTGGAGCAACAGCCGTTATTTTTAAATAGCCACTTAACCAAAGAACACCTCAAAGCCAGTTCTCTAGTGTCCTCCTAAATTACCCAATCAGTTATATTTTAGTTCTAAGGTTTTAAAAAGGTAGATATTTAAATATTTCCACACGGTCAGTGGAACATTCTCAGGAGTAGAGAAAAGCATATTAAAGACAACTATCATGGGGCGCCTGGGTGGCTCAGTCGGTGAAGCCTCTGCCTTCGGCTCAGGTCATGATCCCAGGGTTCTGGGATCAAGCCCCGAATCCGGCTCCCTGCTCCACGGGGAACCTGCTTCTCCCTCTCTCTCTGCAGGTGCCCCCTGCTTGTGTGTGCTCTCTCTCTTCTCTCTCTGTCAAATAAATAAGTAAAATCTTAAAAAAAAAAAAAAAAAAAGACAACTACCTTAATATGAGAAACTATGGTAAGTTTGGCCAACAGGATTGTTGGCTGGCTTAGTAAAATCTTTAGCTTCTTATCCAACTGGTGAAGTACCAGAGCTATCAGTTTTTCAAAACTGTGTTCTGAGAGCTTCATGATTAGGCTCTCCATTCTTGTCAAGAGTCTTTGTGATGATGACAGCCCAAGCCCCTGAAAACTATCACGCTCTTACAACCTGACCGGAGTCGGGCCACAAGAAGGGCCCGAAGAAACAGGCCTTGACAGGAAACAGGAAACTGCAGCAAATGCCCATCCGCCATGAGACCTCTCTTCACAGATAGCTCGGCCACCAGGGCCCGAGAGCGCCCCTACTTCTGCACCACCTCGGTCCCTTTCCCCTGGACCTTGGTGCTCCCTCCTCCTTTTGTGAATTCTGTGTAAAATAGATGTTTTTAGGATGTGTTGGCCTATTTAAAATACATATCCAAAACTTAGAGCTGAAGCAAAACCACCCAGAGTGGACAGGGTAGGCCTGACCATGCTTTGTTAGCTGGCGTGCTAAACACACTTGATGTTTCAACTCAACCGGCAAAGATTCACGGAGCCCCCACCTCATGGGAGATGTTCCAAGGAGACACACACACAAAGAAAGGAAATAACGGTCCCCTCTGCCTCATGGCTCGTAGTTCTGTTGGCAGTTCAGGATGTATACACAGACGATAGTTATAGGGTGCCTGGCTGTCTCAGTCAGTGCAGCACGCGACTCTTGATCTCGGGGTTGTGAGTTGAAGCCCCATGCTGGATGTAGAGATCACTTAAAAATAAAATCTTAAAAAAAAAAAAAAAGAAAAAAGACCTATACGATGAAAGAAAGAAAAGTATAAACTAGAATTGGTATAAATGCTTCATCTAAGAAGCATTAATTAATAAGTATCTACTGTGTGCCCACAATGACTGCTAAGTGCAATCATCAGGGCAATGAAGGACAAAACATAGATAATACACACAAAGTGCTCTCATAACATATCTGTATGTTAAAAAAAAAAAAAAGGGCAACCAGCTCACACGGGCAGTGATGTGCACAATGTGTCTGTGGGCCTCACCGGTGCTTTGTGGACCTCAAGGCCCCAGCCTA